AACCTTATTGTATAATACCGCATCTTGGCGCGAACATGAGCATGATGGAAGCGTGGTTGGTCGACAAACGGTGGAGTTTGCTGATTGGGTCCTGGTGGTTCCATATCACAACTTCTGACCTCCTACCTTACCTACCTTCAACCGAACTACAATCTCTCGTATGGCCAATCAATCCAACATGTAAGATGTTACAACAGTGCACTTCGAACCCAGCCCGTTTTCTTCGGGATTTCGTTCTTATCTATCAATCCATCTTCTCTTACCGCATCTTCTCCAGTTCCCTTCTTCTCCATCCTGCATGATTTCTCAGCAGAAAGTACGACCCTTGTTCCTCCCCCTGCTGCTCTAACCTCACATCCTCTCTTCCTTCTCCTCTATCCCTATCCAGACCCAACAAGGTCTTCCACCCCATACCCCACGGAAGGAAATCTGAAACCTCAAATTCTAAATCAAGTAACAGTCTCAACCGCACATTTCATACAAGGATTATTGCATGCATGCATGCATGGATGTATGCGGTGCGTGTACGTGTGCGTGTACCTGTACGCGTGTGTATGTGTGTGGTTTCCCCTTTCCTCCTCCTAAAAGTCCCCGGCGCCTCGTTTGTCCAACCATCTTCCTTTCTTTATTTTCTTGGTTTTCGTGGCTAGCGCTACGCCTCCAACCATGTGTGAGTCGCTGTTCTTCCCTGCTTTGCCCTGCCCTGTCCTGTCCTCTTCACCAGAAACCTTGTCTCGCTAGGTTGGCGGCGACATTGTGTTTGACTGGAACAAGAAGGAGATAGTTTTGAATTGTGGGTTCATGTTACGCGAGATCGGGCTAGGTGATAAGTGCATGTTTCCGGAGGGTGCGATATCTGGCTTTTGGGATTGGGTTGGCGAGGGCGTGGGGTATGGGTTTTCCGGGGGAAGGAGAGGTAAGGTAATTACTTAATAGCTTGGAGAGGTGAGAGGGAAAAGAACGTTGTTCGGTTTCGCTATTGCTGATGGGTTGGTAGGGGCAAGGGGACGGGGAGGGAGGGGATATTGTTTGGTCTTGAGGTGTACTTAGAACTCGGGAAAGATTTCCAGGTGGATTGCTTGGTTTGTTTTCTGATGGGGATGGGGATGGTTTTCGGGTTCAGAGGCTGGGGAGGTACTTGTACATGGGCTGTGTACTGTCTCTTGTGTGGACTGTACTTTCGATAAGGGTACCTTGTCTCTTTGGAGGGGACTTCCTCTCTAGAGATAGAGATACTCGGGATTCATGCTACGTGGAGAGTGAGTTACCGTTCCCTTCGAGGTTCTGTCTGCTCGATTATGTTTTTGTTCTGACTTAATGCAATGCATTACAGCATCTCATGGTCTTCTGGATAGCTGATACTAGGGGTATGCTCAGGACATGGTATGCTTAGGATAAGCCGAGACAGATCTGCGCTCCAATCACTGCAATACATCTACTAGCATTTTCGCTTTCATCCCGGCGTTTCTCTTCCCCTCTTTGGACTGGAATCGCGAGTCGAAGATCTCCATGTATCTCTTCACGGCATCGATGTACTAGCCCATGTCGACCAGCAGTACCGCGCCTTTGAAATCCCCTACTTCCCCCGGCTCATCACCATCCCTACCGAGCCATGAACGACCTTGACGCCTGGAATCTCCGCTTCCCAAATGCCGGTCTCGCCGCCAGAGCCAACTTCATGCCACCGCTTGAGCAGGTCGTTGCTCTCCACCGGCTTGACCTCCTGGGAGACAGTGCCGACCGTGATGTGGGGGATCTCGTTGGCGCACGGCCAGTCGCCCTGGCTCCCGTCTTCTGGCGGCATGATGCGCGCGACGAAGGCCATGAGGCGGTTGTCCCAGATGAGGCGCTCAAGACGCACGCGGGCGGGCGCAAGGATGGGGGTGATGGTGGGATCGGATTCGGGCTTGCTCTTCATCTTCTCGACGTAGTGGCGGGTGTACCCATCCCAGATGTCGGGACTGTCTCTCTTCGAGGCACGATGGATCAACGTGACATGGAAGGCGGGCTGAATGCGGCGCGATCTCGCGAGCTGGTGGTAGATGCGGGCTCGCTCGGGGTCGCTGGAAGGCGGGAATAGCGACCGCAGGACGTTCGTGATCTCGGCTGCCGGCAGGCTGATGCAGAAGTACTCGAGCTTCTTGGCCAGATCCTCAGCAGTCGGAGCTACCGTGTTGTCGGGGGTGTTGGTTTTGTTGTTACCCTTGTTCTTCTGTTTCTGGACTTGTTTGGCTGAGCTATAACCCTGGCTGAGGTCGAGCTCCACCTGATAGTCGTTCATCGCCCAGTTGATGGCGTCGTCCAGCTGTTGTGCGGTGGGAACCTCCTTCACCAGTTTAGGGTAGGACGAGTGTAGGGCTTTCACGACTGTCTCGAGGTTCTCCCGCGAAGAAGCTGCGACATCCAGATCAATAACCTCGTCAAAGTCTGAATCTGGGATACGGTCTGTATTGACGCCCTCGAAGCGAGTAAGGAACCCCTCCATGATCCCGATGATCTCTTCTGTGTTCTTGGTGCCTGCGCGGATCGTCTGGTGGTTGTCGCCACGAGTTAGTACCCGCTGTCTCGTAACCTCCCGAATACCAGGGAGCATCTCCGGCTTGGGGTCGTGGACGTAGTGAAGAGCCACGAATCGAGCTCGGGGAACCCCGGCGGAAACATCCTGTATGAGCTGCTCGCGTTCGCGCTTCTGGTGATTGTTTCGGTCCGCAACCACCACGGGATGTATGGCAAGCAGTTTGTTTATATCCATGGCGAACTTCTTTGGTTTGTTCTTCTGCTTCGGGATATTGTCGTTCTGCACTTGGCCCCAGTTGAACAATTTGACCAGGGCAAGACCCACGGTGGTCTTTCCGCACCCCAAGGAAGCTACAGGGACCAAGACAACATCTCTTACGACTTCCTCCTTTGAGTCTTCGGCTTCCATTTGGATGATTTCCGAACCGTTCAGCCCGTGCTCCTGAAGAAAGCCTTCTCGCATGGCAATGATCCCGTGGTTCTTGTTATACTGCTCTCCTAAGTGCGGGTTCTGTGCAAGCTGTCTGCGAGCATACTGCAGATACAGTTCCGTGACCTTCTTGTGCTTCTTGATATTGGGATATTTGCCGGCGATGATCGCTTTGGTGCACTCGCGCCACTGTCTGTACATCAAGTAAGGCTCTTCGAACTTGTACTTGAAAAACCAATCATGGTAGGGAGGACGGCCACCTTCACCCATCTGGCAGCGAATCACAAACCCTTCGGTCTCGCGACCATCCCATGTTCCGGTCTCCGCACACTCCTCCAGGAACTTCTTCACCTGGTCGAGGTCCTCGTACACAACGAAGTTAGCCTTTTTGAAGCCCCACGAGTCGGCGAAGGCGTGGACTTCTGCGCTGGAGCACGTAGCAAACTTCGGAACGTTGAAGTTGAGACCGTGTAGGTAGATTCCTGAGACCGTCTCGTCGTATGCAAGGACATGCTCTTCGAAGGTGTCGTCACAGAGCTCGCCTACTGCCGTCACATTGAGTCTGCGCAATTCTCGTGCCAAGTCCTTGACAGATTTTCCGACGGACTTCACATGCCTCTCAACCCACCGTTCACCGGCCTGGGCGTGGCTCACCTCCGCATCATTTCGAACACCCGTCGAGTGCTTACTGCAGACCAGAAGAGTTCCGTCTTCGAGCCCAGAGATGAAGATGATGCACCCATTCTCTTTCACGCTAAGCTCGTACGGCCCTCGTGTGTTCATTTCAATGTTCCTCCACTTTGTCGCGTTGACCTCTTCGATGTTGAAGAATTTATCATATCCCCGGACCGCGATTTCATGTGTCCCATCCTTCCTTTGGGTGGTGAAAAGACCTCGAGCGTAGGTGGGGAGATCGTGACGTCGGTAATCCCAGTCCATGAACTTCCAAGAATTCACGCTGATGCCGTCGGTCTTGTCCACGTCGAATGTCGACTTCTTGCAGGTGAAGGTCCTCTTGCTCTCAGCTTTGCCTCTCTTTCTCGCCTCTTCCAGGCACTCCACAAGCTGAGCTACTTCCTGCTCGTCCTGCCGGACCGGTGTGATGTTCTCGTAGGACATGGTCGTAAATCGGTGCTTCGTGGTAGCTTGGGCCGCAGGTGTAAAGCACCGGGGGTGCTGAAGGCGCGCGTGAAGGAGCTCAGGCCGACGGCTTCGAAGGAAGGGAGGGGCAGCTGACTTGTGTCGCCTGGGCCAGGAAGCAATTGCTCTTGAAATCAATCTCGCTGGCTTCATCAAACAGATGAATTTTTATCGTGAGGTGCAGTGCTCAGCGAATCATCACAAGCAGACAGTGACGAGGGTCAGCCTTGTCGCAAATTGGAGTTGCTTATCGGCTTTGTTCGTATGCGGGGCAGAGCTACTCCACAGGTGTACCTTTTTTTTACTGCACCAACCATCCGCTTACCCGATTCGGTTGCCGCCGCTTTTGTCAAGGCGATCCTGGAGTCCATGGTGGGATCACCACCTGTTCTCTTCTTGATGTTATCGCCCTGCAAGCAAGGCAGTTAGTTAATATCAGCGGGAATCAAGAGTTTCTGATCATATTCATCAATATGAATCAAGAGCTGTTCAGTACCAACGCCAAAATGGCTAAAAACCTTGATTCCTGGCAGCGTAACATGGTAGTATGGACTATGCGTCATTCCGTCGTTCCGACCAAGTCAAGCAGTTGTGCGCCGATGCTGGGTTCAGGCTCTTATACCTGCTGCCATATTCACTGGACTTCATTCCTATCGAAGAGTTCTTTGCCGGACTGATGTGTTTTATAAAGAAAGCTTGACCCAACGTCCAGAACGAGTTTCAAGGGAGGATTTCATGTCTTTCTTCAGCGATGCCTTCACGAAGTTTTCGCAAGAAGAGTGCCCAGGGCCATTTTCGACATATGGGCCTAACAGTGGAAAGACAGCCATTGATTGCACTTTCTCGAATTCATGTATACATATGATATTTTACCATGCTAAACCAGTTTTTGGGGGGGGGAGGGCGGCCTCGCTCAATAATAACGCGTGACGGGGGGCAGGCCCTGTAACGTATCATTTTTCTGGACATTGTGGCAGTTAGTATCTGGTTTTGTTGCAAGGAGGTAAGCACGAACAATAGCTTCCCGAAACACTTGACAAGCTCGACTTCATACTCGCAGTATGCTTTCTCACGAATGTTCATATCTTGAAACTTCATGGCAACACCAAAATCAATCCATACGATTCTACTGCCGGACACAGCAAGCATATTCTTTGGATAGATGTCGTGGTGATGGATGAGTGCTTTGTGGATCTGTTTGATCCCATCAACCGCATAGCGAAACAGGTCATCAAAATAATTCACGCAATTTAGCTTTTCGGCTGCTGGTAACTACTCAAGTACAAACGCCCTCGGTATGAATTTATCCTTCTTGAAACAATTCAGCTGTTGGTTGAAATTGGACGGATCGAAGCGATCAATGAAGCCGTGGAAGAACGGAACAAAACCACTGTCACGCAGGCCAATTTGAGAAGATTACAATATGCATGCAGCTCGCAACGGAAACGATTCAGGTCTCATCCTGGATCACCATTATCATGGAACTGATATATCAGTGCCGTCCTAGAATGGCAAAGAAGCTTGACTGACCAGCTTCATAATGCGTGGTCTTCCCGCATATTCGTACTTCGAGTACAGTCGAAGCTTCCGATCGGCTGAACTCCCGTTGAATGACAATATCGTGAGAATCCAGATCAAGAGAGCAATAGCCCTGCGGGCCCATGATTGTTATAGGAGCCAGATGGGATCAGGGTTTGTGGGTAAACTGAGTTCGGTTTCGGGCAGGATAGCTGGCACCAAGAACGCGCCTCTTTTAAGTTACATAAACTTCTAGACACATGTGATATGCTGATTTAAACACTTCAAGCACCCCGCATTCCTTCATTCCGGAACCTCAACCCTGGTATGAGACCCACCCTTACGGAGTACTTCGACGGCTTTGCGTTTCCATGGCATTAGAGTAACGAATCGCCCCGTGGCCGGAATTCGGCTACCCAGTTTCCATTCAACGATATGGAGAACTATTGAATTCCACACTGATTCGTCCTGACCCATTTACCTCGCCCCCTACCCCACTGAGAGATGGACACACATTTCATCTTCGTCTCGGATCTCGTTATGAGCCGGTTGAGACGCGGCCGTCGAGCTGGTTTTGAACAACCCGCGCCGGAGCTCCAATTACGGCAGCTGTCTGTCATAATAATTGACGGAGGGGGATCTGCACGGATCATCGATCAGTTCCGGCCGGACGCAGCGTTTATTGTCGTTGGTGCAAGTCTCACCACAGGCGCCAATCGAGCGCCTGGGGAACTTGAAAAGGTCTCCTGGAAGTGAAGGTCTTCAATGCGCTTCTCACAAGACCTGCCGGATCAGCGAGAATATAGGCAGGTTTTGGCTCAAGTGAATTTCTATATGGAACAGCACCACACCCAGTACGGGTCTATCCTCTCAGACGCCGAGCTTGTCGCAGTGAAACGACTGGATGACAATGGTCGTTTAGCCGTCGCTACATCCATTCCATGGTCAAGTGGAGGTGTTGGGAGGCTTTCGGTCTTGCTAGGACTGTGGTACCTTGGCATGCTAGCGGCTGAGAGCAATAATTGGTCGCTACACTAGGCTCATATTACTTTTCGTGCACAGAGTTTCCTGATCCGCTCTTATAGCTATCTCTGTAGCTATTCAAGGATCACTTGAAGCGTACAATATGATTCATCACTCTAACGCCTTATGAGGCCAGACTAAACCAAGATTGGTATATAAGCGAAATATATTCGACCGATGTAGGTATAATAAATCGCAGTCTGCTACACGAGTATGATTCTGTAAACAAAGAATACCCTCCGAGGTCCTGCATGCCATCAAATTTCTAGACTGGCAATTCCCAGACCTTTAGTTCTACTACTGCTGTAGTACTGTAATTGATGCCTCTCCTTTCAGCAACGGTATCTAGAGTGATTTGCTTTAAATGCCAGCTCAGGTTGAGACTGAGTTAGACAGACCAAAAGTTCCGTTTTCGATTTGCAGCCACAATATCTTGGTGATGATGTTAGGGCTATCTGGGCATTGGGTGTAGTATATCATCCGAGCTTTGTATAGTTCATTTATAACGGTTACTCAGAGTCAGAATCTAGTACTCCTATCTGAGTGTAGCCCGCGTCGGCTGTGGTTTCTTTTGCAAGCCGATTAACGACAGCTTTGTGGCTGTCGACCTTTGCTCATGAATTTTTTATCCCGAGCTCGTTTAATAAATTTGCATAGCGCAGTGACAAAAACACATTATCCTTTCTTTTCATGATTTTTCGAAGGAAAGCTGCAGAAAACCTCCCAAGCTTTATCGCCTTGTCGATGAATGGTATTCAACAGTCTCTGAGTATCGGATTACTGTCGCATGCTACTTGATCCTCGATCAGAATATGTATATTTGAATGGTAGAATATTCGTTGCCTTGCCAGATCTCCTCCACAACGCGAGCCTATGATTCCAAGCTTTGAGATTTTCTTTCGCGCACTCTGCATGAGAAGGAATATTGTATTTATCAGCAACTATATACGCCTTTATGTCCAGGAGAGTATGATTTTCTTCCGAAAGGTCTCCAAAGGTTGGTCTCGTGTCTGTATAGCTTTGTCTATACAGAGCTGGACCATCATCATATTGACTGCCTTGGGGTTGTCGTCAGGTAGACTGATTCTTCCGGTCACAACCTTCTGAATATTATCAGCTATTATTGATATAGCTCTCTATGTTGTCCTTACAAGGAAGTTTGGGCGATATGTTGCGACCAGGACGTCAGACCGAGCACTTATAATCGCCCGATGTACTCAATGATTATGATTGACATAAGAGATAATCATATCCGAACACTCACTTGAAGCTATGACTTGCTATAAGAGTGAGCGATACAATCCACACGACCATTTCTTCAATGCCCAGGAGCCTGGGGCAATCCAATGTTCTTTTTCCGAACCTGATTGCTGCAACACTGAGGCAAACCTCGACACTGGGATGTAAGCAGGACTTGGTATCTGAGCCTGTGTAGGGTTACTGAAGACATTAAATGTCCGGAGTTTGAGTATGCTCTTTTTTTCCCGGTCGCCGCCCCCTCCGACCGGACCCCTCCTTTTGCGTTAGTCTAACTGATTCAAAATCTCCCCACCCCCAGTTACAACTTTCCCTACCTCATTCTATTTAACTAGCGACTCAAGGTTTGTTTATTCTCACTGAAAGACCCAAATTTGACCTCACTGACTCAAACGATAATTGTCTAGCCGCCACGATGAGTCAACCCAACCCCTACATTCTGGCCGCCGAAAACCCCTCCGCTCTTCTAACGCTATTGCGCTCGAATCCATCCATCGCGTCCGGTCAAGATGAGCACGGCTACTCACTACTTCATGCTGCCGCCTCCTACGGTCACATCGATCTTCTGCGCGCCCTGGTGAAAGAGTTCAACGTGGACGTCAACCTTCTTGACGAAGATGGCGAGACGTGTCTGTTCGTGACGGAGAGCGTCGAGATCGCAAAGTGCCTGGTTGAAGAACTCGGTGTCGACTACAACAAGAGGAACGATGAGGGCTTGGCTGCTTATGAGACTATTGAGAACGATGACTCGTTCCCTGAAGTTGCAGCTTATCTGCGGCAAGTCGCAGGTGTCCCAGCCCCCGCCCCTGCAGATTCTTCGGCGGATGTCGCCTTGAACCAACCTCCTCCTCTGCCTGCGAACCTGCAGCTGAACCTGGGCACGGTGTCGGAGCAAGAGGCCAATGCGGGAATCGAGCAGGTGGACCCCGAGTTCAAACGTCGGATTGATGAGCTGGCCGCGCGGGAAGACTTCCACAGTGAAGCCACGCAGGCCCAGTTGCGAGAGTTGGTTATGGATGCAATCCGAGGCTCTAGTATCGAGACTGACGAGCGGGGTGTGCGTCGGAGAACGGATTGAGAAGCTGCGGGCTTCACTTCAAGGACCATTTTGGCTTGCCAAACAGCTTCCGCTTCTCTCATTTGAGTCGTCATGGGCGCATTGGTCTGTTTTGGCCAGCCTGCGAGGCATCTAGCGATCTCGAACTACCATTGAGTCTCAACCATTCTCGCCGCTCTATAGGGTAACAGCGCAGCGCTATCTCGAGCATTTCAACTTGGACGTATACCTACTCCAAGTCTTGAAAGGGACAGCCAATTTGCGTCAACCCCAAGGTTCCGCTCGGGCTTTGATGAGATGCGCTTATATCGGGCAACCATATCTTGTTGAGTTCTGGCAGCTACGAAGACTATATACTACATGCACATTATTAAATGCTGTGTCTCAACTAGCAAAATTAATGCAAACTCTCTACATGCACTCTTTGTAAGACTCTCTTCCCCATCGGCAAGTGATCAACAAGGGCTCTTTTATAAATTGCCACGATGGTTGAATCTCCAGTCGCATGTAACTTAGACTGAAGATATGTCATCTCACGTGATCATGTGCCTTTTCCCCGCATCGCCCGCACGCGTACTCGGACCTCCTGTTACTCCAACCATCCAATTACCTGCCTTTGCTTGTTCAGGTGCATCCCTCGTTCAAGCCTGGCTCTCCGGCCAAAGTACTGTTTTCTTCCTATCCAGTTCCGCTTTACGTTGAAAGCCCCTTGTCACCATGAACCCGGCACTCGGTTCCGACACGCCTCCTCCCCCGCCTCCGAAGCCCAGCAGCCACGAGGCCAGTCGAAGAGGCACACCCCAACTCAACTCACCTTTGCCCGGCACCCCGCAGCAGCTACACAGAGCGTATAATCAACAGGAAAGAATGGACATGTTTTCAGGGAACAGATATTCCTCACCAGGGGTTCCTCCGAGCTCCCAGAATGTGCTGCCCCAACCACCTCCTGTCGAAGAAGGTTGGCTACCGAGTAGTGTCAAGGACAAGAGGTATAATCCCCATTCAATACCAATCTTACGCTGTCGCAAGAACATCCCTCTGACTATGATCTTCTCCGCAGTACTGTGGATTTGCAAACCGTTCTCAAAGACCCGAACCTCATCTCCGCGCTGTCGAGCCAGCATCCATCCTACACGGCGCACCAGCAGCATCTGGAATCCCTCCTGAAATATAATAAAGACCTGGCAAACCGTCTTCTCGAGCTTCAGTCGCAGATGTCGGAGCTACGGTCCTCGACGGAGACCCTTCTCCTGACCCATCAGTCGCTCGAGGTTTCCTGGCGGAAGAAGCAATCCGAGATGGATGCTGCCCTGGCCCCGTGGTCGCCCAAGGCGCTGTACCAGAGGCTGGCGGCTTCGATATCGGAGCAGGAGGCTGTTTGTCGAGCGGTGGAGGAAAGTTTCCTAGAGGGGGAACACCATGGCCGGGCGTCGGAGAAGGAGGTCGCGGACTGGGTTCGACGGGTCAGGGCGGAGTCGGCCAAGTTGGCCGCGAGGAGGGAGGCGAAAGCTAGGTGGGATGAGGGACGGGTAGGAGGTTGGAGGTGATGGAAGCAGCCCGCTCAATTCGAGGGTTTCACTACGCTGGGTTATTATTGTGCCCCTAAAGGCCCCGGGACGGGATGCGTTTCCTAGACATTGCTAAGCGTACGGGACAAAAGCATGAGGGCGCGAGAAGACAACCCCACGGCCTACAGAAATCTTCCAAATGACTCCTGCACTGTCACATTTTCCACTGGCCTAATACCCACCGCTATCTGGTCAGGATGTAGGGAATCTATTCCCTTGCTGCTTTACGGCCACTCTCGAGGTCAACATCCTGATTCCTGGGCTCTGCTCTCACTGGCGGTGGTGCATATTTCGCAGTTGCCCAGTTGTCCGCGCCGACATGGCTCGGCAGTCCCACGCTTCGGAAGAAAGCATGGCTACTGTCCCTCGCCCCCCAAGACCAGCCTGCACCGCGCATCACGGGAAGCTGGTAAAGTCGAAAACCGATCCACGCGAAGACGATTCCCATGACTGATCCAAAGATGATATCGAATCCATGGTGGCGATAGTCGAACCACCGCGAAGCAGCTATGAAGCACGCCACCGCTATGGGCACGAATACGATTATGAGCAGGTAAACCGGCGGGGCTGCTCCCTGCTTTCGAATGGTGTTACGTTCCTGTCTCTGCAATTCCTGGCTAAGCGGTGAATGGGCGAGATAGGGAAATCCGATGGACAGTTTGGCACAGAGCCATAGAGTGAGATACGTCAATCCGCCAAATGCGACTGTTGATTAGGCATCAGCGCTGTCGCTTCCTCGCAATACCCTTGGGTTTCCCTGGGAACTGATCGCTTACAAGAAGAATGCCCACTGGGGAAACTCGAAAAGCCATCAACAGCCAACTCTCGCGCTTGATTTTGACAGATCTCCCAGGTGACCAGTGTCGGAGCTCCATCGAGGCTGGATCCCAGGCCGCTGACAGCGAAGGTGTTAATCTTGGAGAGATCCGGATCGCATCGGGCGAGCATATCCGGCCGAGGTTTCCCAAACAGATCCTTCAGCCCCTCGGTCGCCATATAGGCCCCCGCAAGCGATATACCCAGACCCAGCCATCCGGCATTCCACTCCCATACCTTGTACCGCCACAATTTTGCGCGTGCCACTATCGTCGTCTCATGGTTTGTCATCGCCGGGCCCAAGGGGATGAGCACCAGCGCCCCGAGGACGATGATTACGGCCGGGACAATCAAGGCGACCACCGCCACCACACTGACCGATACGGTATCATGGTCTCTGTGGGGGAAGGAGATGCTTGGATCCGTGAGGGAAAATGGCCTCTGATTGGGAGAGACGCGACCGAATCCAAAGCCTATAAGTGCGATACCACTGCAGGGAGAGAATACCATGAGTACTGTATATACACACCAACGAAACAGGATCTAAACCAGCTTTCTGGGGAGGTCTAATTGGCAAAAACGCACATGATAAGTATCCAGTCAAGGATATACGAGACGACCAGTCTCTTGGAAAAGCGCACATGCGCTGCCCCGAGGCCGCCGCCTGCTCCCGTCGCCGCTGTAGATGGTTGTTGTTCGTTCTGGTTGGAGTTGCGCGCCATGGCCGATGGGTGATGATGTCATTCACCAAAGTTGACGGGATAGGAACCTTGAAGTATAGTTAGTGTACAGTACAAAATAGCAAGCTCGAGGTCGTTATTTACTGGTCAGGAAAGTCTCGAGTTCAATCCTCAAAGAAAAAGAAAGTCTGAGCAAGAGAGCGAGCTGGCAGATTCTCCTGACCTCCCAATTTTTTTTTGACCTCGTATGCGAGGGTGTGTTGGAGCTCAGTGGAACTTGCAACCGACCTGTAGGTTGGAACTACGGGCAGGGCCTGGACCCGACTCATTGGCCAGGTGATTGTGACCACCACTGCACCTCCCAAGGCACGCAGGCAAAGCCAATTAAGGTACGGTACGACCTTCCAGCCGAGTGCCATGCGTGTGCACGTCCTTCGCTCATCTCATGATCTGCACTGTAATTCTATCATGCAGATCCCGAGGGAAAAGAGGGGCATGATCGACGTCAGGGATGGGAACAAAGACAATCTCCGTCACCTCGTGTTATGATTTATTTCCTGTTCAATCATTTAAGGAGGCATTCACTCTTGAATTTAGATTGTCTAACATATATCAATTCATTGACTCATATCCATAACATTATATTACATAGCATGCGCCCACCTTTCTTTTGGTCAGGGCGTGATGTTGTCACATGCGTTCAATTGAACGCTTGTGGAATTTGGGGGGGAACGGGGAAGGAAATTTATTTCTTGCCATCCAAGTCGGTGAAGAAATCTTTCCCGAAGTCGGCGCTGCTGTCATTGAAGCGGAGCTTGCGGTCGATGCCTCTGATCTTCTGCATGTCTTCGTCGCTCAGCTTGAAGTCACCCTCCAGGTTCGCCTGGATTCGGGATGGGGTCTTAGACTTGGGGAGGACGGAGTGACTCTGTGTGATACCCCAGGCTATATTTAAGAAAAAGCAGGGTTAGTGGGGGGTGTCTTTTTCTTGCTTGATGATGGGTGGGGAGAATGAACGTACCCAGTGCGACCTGAGCGCCACTCTTGTTGTACTTCTTGCCAATGTCCACCAAGACGGGGTCCTCGATCAACTTGCCGATGGTACCCTCCTTGGAGTAGAGCTCGTTTTGATTACCGAATGGCGAGTAGTGGGTGATGTGGATGCCCTTGGACTTGTGCCATTCGGCGAAGTCGGGCTGCTGCAGCCAGGGGTGGCTTTCGAGTTGGTGGGCGGCGGGCACGACGGAGGTTTCCTTGAGCAGGCGCTCCATTTCGGCCTTGGAGAAGTTGGAGACTCCGATCGCCTTGACCTTGCCGGTGGATAGAAGCTTCTCCATAGCCTTGTATGTCTACAAGTCCAAGGAATGGTGGGTCAGTATCTGAGATGTCCGTTCAAGTGCGTTGTCGAGGAGGGGGGCTGCATGGTCTTACGTCGACATAGTCAATGTCTTCCACAACGGGCTTGTCGTTCTCTTTGGGGAACAGCTCGTCGCCTCGCTTCCACGCAACGGGCCAGTGGATCAAGAAGAGGTCAATGTAGTCGAGCTGCAGGTCGTTGAGAGAGTCCTGAAGCGCCTGAGGAACATCGTCGGGGTGGTGCTTGTTATTCCAGAGCTTGGTGGTGACGAAGAGCTCTTCACGGGGAACGCCGCTCTTCTTGATGGCTTGGCCGACGGCCTTCTCGGTGCCGTATCTATTCCAAAGGTAATCAGCATAAGTGTCGCCGAAAATAAGTGAGGTATAGTCTTAAGGAGCGTACACTCGGGCAGTATCGATGTGACGGTAGCCGGCCTTGATAGCTTCGAGAACGGCATTCTCCTGAGCGTCGGCGTCCTGCCAGGTACCGAATCCGACAGCAGGAATCTCTGCGCCGGTATTGAGCTTGAATGTGGTGGCCATTGTGTATTATTAAGTTGTGGGTGAATATGCAAGGTATCGATTGGAGTTCTGAGTGCAAGAAAAAGTGGTCTGTCTGGTCCGATACTAGCAAGGCTAACAAACACGGTTCTTATACCAGCGGAGATAGAGGCCGACGTCAATTTGACGCAGCATCCTAATCACACAAGGTGCTTGTCTCGCCTCGTGGTGTGGATAACCATGACGTCGGACAGGCCACTGGCCGCAGGTTCCACACTATTGGATCCAGCGACGGGTCCGCGGATTTGCGGACGGCCAGGGACATTATTTATAAGTGTCTTAGACCCAGCATGGATTGATGAGGTCGCCGATTCAGCCTTTGCTAAGACCATTCCTTCTATGATCACTTTGGCGTTATCAGTCCCTCATAGAAGGGTTCGAAGGATAGACCCACATAGAACCATCCTTCAGGTGGATTGCGAGAAGAAACCTATGGAATAAAGAGTGGTGCTCCAGAGCTCATTATGAGAGGACAACGGGAGTATGAGTCCAGTCAAATTGAGCATCACGCTTAGTTTTCCGATTCCGATTCAACTTCAATCACAATGTAAAAGACAGCCCATGATCAAGCGAGGCCACGAGAGCTGTAGGAGCTGTATGGAGCTTAGCGAAATCGGCTAGACTGCCGAAGCACTAGCTGTTTGTCCCGCAATCAAACAGCATAAGTGGCGACTCTCACTTCCCGTACCTCATGCTTTCTATAAATTTCCGACGCAACCCACAACAATTTTTTTCTCCCATCATGATCATGCAACCACAACCAGCCCAAGAGTCGCCCAACGCCGCGACCTTGTGAGAATATCTTGTCTAATGATGACTTGACATTCTCGACTCTCAATGGCACAATTGTAAAAGGTATGCGAAGACTTTTGCTTAGTTTTCAATGTTTTCCCCCTGTTGGATGATGACCCTATGACACGCTTTAAGGCATTCCTCAAACTTAATCACCATGTGGAATTCGTGTTTTAACTCAAGTTTCAGCCTTGTCTGACCAACTTCACTTCATTTTGCTGTTTTCTCAATTAGCTTGTCATTGGTGACTCCTCACTAACATGCTATTTGATAGGTAAATACCACTCATTCAACTCCTCTGCCTATCTGGCTGCCGATGAAGAAATCTTGAACGAACGGGCGGACATAACGTGTACATGGAACTGCGCCCACCAAAAGCGAGGCGTACAAACCTTGCGGGTGTCAGGAAAGTGTATAACTTGTTGAGATCTTCGTCACCTGAGCTTTCATCGATCATCTTCAGTTGTTGGAACTGTTTTTGGCTTCGAGTCATACTAACGGGAACCGACAGGTAATTTCCATCCGCTTTCTGTCTCATGCACAAGCATTGCCCAAGTCAACTTTACATGATGAACACTTATTCACACTGTTTGATCTGTGTACTCTGTACATGGAAATGAACATTAAACACAAAATTCTGATTTAATGAGGTTGGTACTCGAAAATTCCATGGGTTTGTGGGCCTTCGCTAACCTGTTAATAGCCTGACTTCAGTTGACATCATTATCTCTTGAAATCACTCATGGATTGTCATGAATGTGTTGCTGATTCTGTTGTTAAAGAATATAGGAACACCAATATACTTGTAGTTACTTCGACTGAGAATTTTGTGAGTATTCACCCTCAACAAGACCCTGCCCTTGCATGATGATTCTTAAAATTCGCTGTGTTCTTACTGAACTACAATGTCGAAACAACAAAGATTCACCTTGGAGAACTGATCACTACGCCTTCCACTTGATTGTGTACGAGATGATTTGCTGTAATGGCTGCTAATACCTCATCATAGGTGACTTCTGCTCGCTCTCAGCACAAACATTGATATGAATGAAAAAAAAATATGTTGTCAAACTTCAATGCTCCTGTAATTGCGTATCATCATCCACTTAGAACAATTGTAGCCCTCACAATTGTAGCCCTCACTACTCTGTCCCCTATTCGAAGAAGAGATTATGCTTCTTATGCCACTCTTCCAAACTGTCGCTCGGGTATTCCTCGTGCACCTGCTTCTTCCCCTCCGGCCAACGCGCCCACGTCGGCTTCGACCCGGCCATAATGCAAACCATCTCGTCAGGCACCGGCAACTCGGTGTCGATCGCCGACGCGAACGGATGAATCAACTCCGGCCATTGCTTGTCCCACAGCCACAGCATGGTACTACAGTTAGAGCAGAAGTTCCGCTCCGACGAACAAACCTCCTCCTGATCGGTACCGCGGGCCTTGATCGCGGAATATTTCCTTTGCGTGCAAAACCCCTCGTGGTCAGTCGGAGTTTCGATCTCAATGTAGAAGACAACAGTTTTGTGGGAATTTGACATACTTGATCAGATCCTTGCCCTTCTTGATTTCCAACGAGTTGGCAATTCCGCCGAGGTTGACGCTGCCGCTGTACCCGCCTACCTTGCGACAGATGCTGCAGGCGCAGAGCTGGTAGGGAACTGGGGTTGAGGATTGCAGGGAGAATTCAATGGCGCCGCATTGGCAGCTGCCTTCTAGGGTCCTGTTTGTTTGGTTTTTTAGTCTTTGAATCGAGAGATTTGGGGGTTGTTCATAGATGCTGTAATATGCGGAGATATATTCATTGTCGCGGGTAGTGACTGAAAAAGGTGGGAGGAAGAACTCACATCGGCATTTTCTTGTGACGTGATTACAATTCACCGGGTTGCGCTATATTATGATGAAAGCTGCAGATGAAGTCAATCCCTTCGAAGTAGGCTGTCCTCAGGTAATTATATCGTGCGGTTGGAGGACAACGTCATTGATATATCAGCGCCGAAGCTGTCCGTATCTATGCGGGTCAGAAGGGGTGAGCCTGTACCGTATGCCAACATGCTCACAACGAAACTACATATAGGAGCCCGAGCCCAGTCGAATGGTCATCTAAGCCACCCTGCTTTGAAGCATCGGGTCCAGTCGACCAATTATCAAGCCTTGTGACGCCTATCTTTCTCAAAATCCACAGGTTACATGGCCCTGGCTGAGGGTTGACCCCGCCCGTATGTATCAGGCCAGAAGCTATATCATTGGAGCCAATGGCAACCTATTCTGTCCTCTTGTAAGCATTAGTCTGCATTGACTAAGGACTCGGACAAGTTCTAGATCACCTTTACACACTGCATGTGGTGGTGCAAACAGTATAAATCATCCTGAGTACTGTTTGTCATGTTTGTTTGGCGGCGCCGATCCGGGCCTTTTTTCTCCTTCCCCGGCTTGCAGAGAGGCAGGGCCATTGTGAATGCCCTCCGATAAACAGCCGATAAGACGTTGCTCAATCTAACAAGCTTTTTGCTTGCTCCTAATTCTCTCAACCGGATTATCATCCAATTACCTCAGGAACCGTGCCACCAACTTACTTCGCCATGGGCTTCGGAGCTCCCGGTGGTGCCGCGACCAACTACAAGCCTACGCCGTAAGTGTGGTCTGATGAATTTCCCTATCTCCGGTTCTCGCGACCGCTGCGCGCGCGCGGTATTGCATTTCTCGATGAACGAGAACGGGGCCAGTGCTAATTTCTGGATTGGCTGTGTATAGGCCTGAGCGTGGTAGCTTTCCTCTAGATCACTACGGTAGGCACCCTCTCTCCCTCGTTCTCCACCGGCTCCATTTCGGCTGCGCCTGCAGGCCTGCGCACTTCCTCGGAACATACGTACACACACAGAAAGCGGGGGAAACGAGACTGACACTACTGGGATTCAGGCGACTGCAAACACCTGATCTCCGATTACCTGAAATGCCTGAAATCGAACCGCGGCGTGAACGACGACGCATGTCGACAATTGGCGAAGGGATATCTTGCTTGTCGGATGGAAAAGTATGCTTCTCCTTATTCGGGCCATACAGAAGATTCTCTGGGGAGAATATGACTGCTAATGCGGATTGTGCTTTGTGCTTGGTAGCAATCTCATGGCGCCGGACGATTTTAAGAACCTAGGGTTGACATTTGAGAAGGACAAGGCTGCTGCTGCTGAGGGGGCTGCGGCGGGGACGGAGAATAAGTCATAGGGTCGGGGGTGGTTGCGAGGGTTGTACGATATTATTGGGAGGTTGGCAGTCTTCGTGCAAAGCATGAGGGCTGGGTTGGTTGATGATTTTCATGATATGGTTGGTAGATTAGTATATATTCTCTCACTCTTCGGATTTTTGGGCGTCCGGGAAAGGTGGTTATCTATATTTCGTTCTATGTATGTACAGAACGTGCAGGAATATATGGTCTGTATATACGTGCTGATTCTATACTCCGGGATTCTCAAGCATACTCGTCCTTAGCATATTTGCTGTGGCCTGCGATTTTATTGTGATGTCTTATCAGAAAAGAAATGCGGAAACCCCCAATTTTCATGCGATGCGGGGAAAGCTAAAGTTATCCGCAGCACCGCGGCGAACGGAACTCTTAGTCCTCCACCCCCATTATCTTCGATGTGCCTGCGAGCTCTCGATTTTTCCCAACTCCCATCCCTTGTATTTGCCATTGTGTCTCTTTGAGCTATTTCCTTAAGATGCTCACCCTCACCCACCAATAAACAAAGAATAATCGGCGAAGACCTACCTCACGAAGACCAAAAAAGACGACCTCCGCCCAGAATGTCCTCTATCGCTCGCCCCCCGGACCCCTGCCTGGTCGCCATCATCCTCATCGTCCGCTCGCGCGCCGGCCCCCGCTTCGTCTTCCACTACCCGCCCAACCCGCTCAGCGAGAACGGCTTCCGCTCGGCATCCTCCTCCAAGGCGGCATCGTCGTCCTCGATCTCCTCGCGACGCGCCTCGCGCTCGAAAGCCACGTCCTCCTCCAAACGAGATTTCAACGAGTCCAGTTCCAGTGAGGAGAGCGGGTCGTCTTCGGATGAGGATGAGGAGGAATTCACCCTCTCCCAACAGCAACAGCTCAACCAGTTGTCATCGTATGTGGTTGGTGGGGGCGGGAATAGTGGGGTGAATAGTCGTCGGCCGAGTAGTTTTGGGCTCGGTGGCGGTGGTGGTGATGATGGAGGAGGAGGGACCGGGGGAGGACGAGCAGGGATTGCTGGGTCGCCGGGTGCGGAGTCGCAGAGGGCTGGGTCTATTGGATCCGGGAGAGGGTTGTTGCGCGGTGGTGCGGGGAGTATCAAGCAACGCGGGGCGAATTCGGATGTGGAGGATGAGATATCGATTGGGGAGAAGGGGGAGGATGAGGTGGGGAGTGTGGGTTTAGGGGTCGGTGGTGGTGGTGTTGGTGGAGGGCAAGGAGGAGGTGGAGGTGGGAGTACTGGGACTCAGGGTGATGGCAGTAGTGGTGGTGGCAGTGGAGGAGCCAGTCGAGGTGGCAACGGGGCACGTCCGCCCTGGGAGACGTTGCTAGGACTCCCTGCTGATGTCTGGGAGAAGCTGTTGAGTCCGTCGCGGTCGTGGCACAAACGGCGCTTCGAGGTCGGCATCAACGACCTTGCCTTCGTGGGGTGGCCGGTGTTCGTTCGGGAGGACGGCATGTGGAGGAAAGAGAGGCGCAAGAAGAGGAAGCCCCGTGCGACTTGGGAGGGAGGGGAGCTTGGTCATAATGAAAAGCCCGAGGATGATGACGAGGACGATGCTCGAGGGGAGGCGGCCGCGGACCTCCTAGCGGCTTCAACGGAGACGTTGAGTCCCAAGCAGATGACCCCCGCGGAATCTCAGCGCGCCTCAATCGCCAGCATCCACTCGACCAGGGCGGCAAATGAGTCGCTGGATGGAGATGATAAGGATTCCATGACTATGTTCAATGTGGTTTTCGTGCTGGATCCGCCGTTATTGGAGTATTCCATGCGCCTTCGCGAAATCTACGATAACATCATTAAGAAGTTCTCCAAGGCGTTGAAGTGGGAGCAAGCGCGGACGGACTACGTGTGGAGGGAAGCTCGCCATATCTCACACATCAAGGAGAAGGCGAAGGAAAAGGGTATGTGATTGTGTCCTCTGTCGATTGTTTCTGCTAATCGATCTTCTACAGGAATGTCCGTCAACAATCTCTACTCAGACCTTGTTCACCAGTCATCCCTGGCCAGGGCCATCTACACCGTGTACACGAGCATTTCAGCATCAAAGATTGCATCCGTCACCCTGAGTGCGGACGTTTCCATCTCCTTGCAAATCCCCCCTTTGACATCGACCCCATTCCTCGCAGGACCGACTGATAAGGCGTATCCTGGCCTCTGGCTCACAACCGCAGACAGTGTCACGCCGGTTGATGACCCTACTGCTGACGAGAACGCTGCCCCGCATCAAATATTAGCCAAGCACTTCGCTTTGTTGCTACTGGACAACGAAGCAACCATCCTAAAGGATGTCGAGGCTTCTGGGGGTGCTTTGGCCCCTGCGCTTGCACATTATATACGTTGCTCGAAACCTACCAAGTCATTCGCCCAAATCGCCGTGACCTCCGGCATACCACTGTCCACCATCCAGATGCTTGCAAGCCATTTGGTGTACTGGCGAAGAGCACGGGCGATCCCCCCGCTTCATCAGAGGGATACCTATGTTGTCTCACCAAATTGCGATCTGAGCAAATTGGAAGTGGCGACAGCTGCCTACCAAGCGGCATTCCCAACTCTGCCTAGTCTTCCTAAGATGCTATCGGCCATGAGCGGAACCCCCAGGCCGTACGGAAGCTTTATCCCCAGCAAAGACCACAAAGTCACATACTTCGCCATATTGGCGTGGCTGCTGCGAGGTGGCTGGGTTACCCAGCTGCGCGCATTTGCAAGGGTCAAAGTGTCTCCGGAGATCAAGCTGGCGGTCGAAGCCGCCATTCGCCGGGAAGAGGTCGACAAGTATTTGAGCAAGAGCGTCGTCAAGGCGGACGCGGAGGACATTGATGATGATGCAAGCTCATCCTCGTCATCGTCCCTCGATAGTCAAGATAGCGGGGAAGAGACCCCGATGCCTGGCCGGCACAAACCAGGAAAGAAGCTAGATTTGTCCTATTCGTTGCTGGATCGGAAGACATCGCTGAGGACGTCTTCTCTGCTTTTATTCCCCCATCGCGCCTCGCCGCTCGAGTCCAGATGGTTGGATGAGATCATGTCGCGATTCCCTGAGCGCGATGGACCAGGTACTGGTCGAGACGGCGTCAACTCCGATGGCCCCGACGCGGACCTAGACCTCGTGGAGCTGCACCCATCTTTGAAGAGATACTGGCCTCGTTTCATCAAATATTTCAACGGATATGACGCGCTGGAGAAGATCTCGGTCCGCGAGAACTTGAAGCGCAAGTTGGTGTGGCAGCTTCTCACGCGTCTCGGACTGGTGACAGGGCAGCAGTCATCCGTCGAGCTGGATCCCAGAGAGCAAGTCCTGGTCAGTGTGCGTCATTGGTGAGGACGAATGGGGTGATTATATTGATGATTAATGAACCATACACTTGGGAGTAATAATGGTAACTCAGGAAAGAAAGGATTAATTGACTAGCTTAGCATAGTATCCGCTATCCAATGCATAACCTTTCAACAGATAGTAAGCTACTGTTGAACGCTTCTGTCGATCTTCACAAATTGTACAACCCAAGCAACAACACAATTGGGGAAATAAGGCACGTGGACACATTAGTGACGAGCATCCACAAATAGGCAACCCATTTTCCCGACCGAATAATACACCGAAAAAACATGCAGTAACGGGTACCCTACCCACGGCATTACTTCACGGGCACTGAAGTAACCAAGGCGTGCTGAAACAGCCAAAAGAATTAGGAGGCGGAAGGCCGGGATTCCCGAAGTGTTCCGAGTTCGCACCGAAGAGGTCAGAAAGAGCGGAAAGGACAAGAAAAATTTTAAGGATGGTTGCAAACTGGAACGTGGAGCAGGAGCAAGCAAGCAGCAAGCAGCAGCCAACCCTAATTTTTCGACATTTTTTTAACCACTCCCTTTGGGGGGGGTTCCGGATTTGCGCTAAGCGATTATGGTTCAAAATTCATTGGCTCTTGATTTGCTTTACTTGTATCCGTGATTCGTTGATGAAGGACACCTTATGTACAGTCGGGTACATTGGCCCAAAGTCGGTATTCGTTCGAATCCCTTCTTTGTTTATCCCTGCAGAAGAAAATGTAGTATTTCTTTCTATCTGGAAAAACCACAGTTCTTGTCGTAGCAGCAGCAGCAGCAGCAATGAGAAGCTGCAGGGGGTTGGTGGTCTTTCTTTTTGTACCTACATACCATATCCATTGGATCACTTAGATGGGGGCTGGAACATCTATGTAGAGGTTTTGTCTGAATTGACACCAGCCATTGATGAAGAACGCGCCTGGGCTGGAGGGAAAGTCGCGAAAGAAAGCATTGTCAGAGGCGTGAGGTAAGAAGCTTGGGCTAAATAGTTCAAGGGCACTGAACCAGTATTTCCAATAATAAGGCTTCGAGCGTGGCACTTGGTTGTAGAGCCAATGCAAGATTAAAGAATCTATAAGTAAGGCTTCAGGAAGTACTAGTTGTTGCTTCGTATCCCAAGACGCAGGGGTGACGGCTTTGCCTTGCTGCAATAGCACTCGACTACTATGTGGTTGTCATAGAACAACTGCAGGTTGACTTTTGTTGGTCGGCCAAGGATGCTAATATTAAACATGTTGATGGTACCAACACTGTACCCTGCTCCAAATTAACAAAGGTTGAGATACTTGCCGTAGGAATCAAATCAGAAGTGGATACGAAGGGCGAGTATACAATTGAAGCATGAGTGAAATTCCTTTATTTGTGCCTGATTGGGTCCAACGGCATCTCCCAGTGAGCCCCAACCCAACCCCTCCATTGTTTCCAGCTACAGATTCACACTCTCACAGTCTCAGACCTGGCAAGGGCAATCGGCATAACGGGTGAGTGAGGCTAGCGTCGGGATAGTTACTAGCTAAGGTGCATCTGGGAATTCATGTGCCAGGACAACACTTGTGCAACCCTGCTGTCAAAAAGCAAAGCTAGACAAAACAAAATAGAGCAGTGAGGGGCTGTTCTTCCTGGATGACCGCATCAATGGCGTCAAAGTGTCAGCTTTTGCATTTGGGCGTATATATAGCCTAGCATGGGGATACTCCATGTATCACACGAGATAACCCGTAAAATCCAGACATGATTCTCCACGCGATCGCATTGCAGCCACATAACCCGGTGTGATATTGTACAGTACATATGTACATACAGTACATGTTGGACGTCCGGGCTGAAGTGGAGAGGGGAAGAAGATGAGGGGCTACCGCGGTCAGAAAAGAGGACTGACTGATGGAAGTAGCGTCGCGACCAATAAGGTACAGGACTATTGATTGATCTTTCGGCTCAAGAATTTCCTCCAGAAAAGAAATTACTCTACATCCATGGACCACCTCATGCATGCTAAGAGGCTGAGGTGCGAGTACAGGAAGGGGCCATAAGACTACTACCATCAGTGTCGAGCAGATCTCATAATCATCAATCATTCATCATGCGATTGTGAGGCCCTCCCCTTTTTGATTTCCGTATATCGTTTGTGAACCGTATCCTCTGGATAGTCAGTATATCCGGCTACACGACCAACTTCAGAACACCAGGTCTTCCGCGGTGGATTTGCCGGACAATTTCACGGGGCTGAGGAACGAGCAAGAGTGGTTCATACCCACGCAAAGCCCTGACATCCACTCAACTAACCGCAGTTCTTCAAGAAAAGTAGTGCGGGTATACGGAAGGAACAATGTTCTACCAGTTTTTTTCTCTTTCTTTTCTTTCCCCCAACTCCGGATCTCTCCAAGTTTTAGGTAAATTATGTAAATTAAGTAAATCGGATACAGAATTAATTACAAGATCAGAGAGGCACTTCTTGTCCCTTTGTTCTTCCCAATTGATACTTATAATCTCCCTCTGTAATATGTGAGATCAAGCAAAATTGAAACCTCATCCATAATCCTTGGAGACAAGACGAAAGATTAAAGTGTAATTGAGCTGAAAATAAAAGAAGGTAGGCCAGGCGAATTCCACCCAGACTGGCTGGCTGGCTGGCTGGCTGGCTGGCTGGCTGGCTGTGAATTAACTGCCTTCTTCGGCTTCCATGTCTCTCCGGCGGCTTGTAAATTATTATTATGATTTTCTCTTTCCTCTGACACACACAGATTATTGTCTGTCACTCACTACCTACTAACTAAACTCATTAACCACTGTTACTTCCTACGGACAGTCTATTCCTTCATCCTCTTTTCGTTTTTTCCTTTTCCTTTCCCTTTACCCCCCCCTCCTCCCCTCTTCTTTCCCCTCTCCTCCTCTAACCTACTACCACTACTACCCTTACCTCCATCCATAACTGTTTGGGAACTTTCGCTTTTTCTTCATTTTCTCTCCACCGGCTCCCCGTGCCTGTGTTGCTGTAGTGAAGTGGTGCGCCTTTTCTCCAATACACTTTTTCCGTCTTCCGATCCACACATTTCTGTGTTTCGCGGAACTACGGCTTTTCTTATTTTTTTTTTTCTTCCGGCATTGAACAAGGTAATTTGATTGATTGATCACTTTGATCTTACCCATCTTGTACCTTCTCCGCACAGGTTCTGCTTCAAACTCTTTTGTCGCAGCACCTTTTTCTCTTTTTGTTCTTTTTTCTGATTCCCTTCTGCTCTCCCGCACCAGGCGAATTTCCAAAACCTCGAAGTCAAGGAGCAGTCGTCAACCACGTGCAAGTCGCGCTTCTCGTCCGCTTTCTATACAAGGGGCAAGACCAACGGTTCCTTGCGAGCTTACCAGCGTGCATCGGCTTAACTGTGCCCATCCTGTCCTACTTTCGACTAGCCAAGTACCAGCAGCGCAGTTGGATCTTCCGACGGTCCGGACTTCCTCAGTACATTTCGTGAGTCTGGCAAGAGTTCAACAGCGAAGAACTCAACTCTAAACGAAAACCACCCAGGTACTCGTCGATATAGTACGGTCATACGAGCAGCAATTTCCAGTCCTCAACGAACCTCTACGTCGATCCCAAGATCTCCCCCCTCGCTCACCGTTCGAACGGCCCTTGACGCGAACGAACCTCGGTATTCCTACCTGCATGCGATCCGTGTTCTAGATCCTCATTTCGATCAGAGCATTTCCAGACCGACCATATTTGTTACCAGCGTCTTATCAGTACGAAAGGTTCGTCCTCGGACAACAACCACAGCTACCTGCTGCCGAGTAGGAGTGATATCTAGCGACGGGAAGTTGCATAACGGCGGGGTTGCCTAAAGGGCGGAAGTTGTATCTTCTGCTTGCCATCGTCGGCGGAGTTATCTCACCGAACAACTGTGGTTGATTTTTTCCACGTTCTCTGGCAGAACACACCATTCCAACGCTATCTTCGCTTTTTCTTCTTACCTAGAACGGTACTCTAGATACGTCTTTCACACACCAAAAACATGGCTGCTACATTTTCCTACGCACAAGCCGCCAAGGGCGTCGTTGCAACAAACTCTCCCGCCGAGCCAGTCGCCTCGTCCAACGAGCAGAACGCCGAGGTCAGCGCCGAACAGTCGACGGATGCTGTGTCTGCCAATGTTGAGGTAGGCCCCGAATCTCAGAACGTGAATGGAACCAACGATAAGGAAGCCGAATCGCTCAGCGTTGGCAACTCTTCAACCACTTCTAGCACGCTCAAGGACGAGGATGAAGTGAATACGCCCAATGGCACCTCAGAGTCTACTTGGGACAAACAGTCTCAAGCATCGGGCGTGGAGAAGGCCACCGGTGAAGAGGAGGGTGCCGATGACAAGACGGATGAGAAGGAGAAGAGTGTACCAGCTAAGGAGCTGAAGGCTGCTCCTCTCCCTGCAGTCAATATCTGGCACCAGCGCAAAGAAGCCCAGGATGCTAAAGCCAAGGCTCTGGCTGCGCTGAAGCCTGCCACAAAGACTGGAACTTCCAAGACCACGTCCGCCGCCTCCTCGACCTCAGGCGATCATCAACAGGAGCCCGCGAAACCTCCTAAGAAGAAGGGAACCGACGGGCAAGAAAGTGCCAAGGAGCGCAAGAAGACCGACGGTGGTAAAGGACGAGATGAGAGTGCAAGCATTCCTCCTGTGGGAGATGCTAACCTCTGGCCGACACCCGATGTTGCTCAAGGCGAGGAGAAGAAGAAGCCTCAGGAGAAATCCGATAAGAGCCCTGTTATTCGCCCGCACGGCAAGGAGAAGTGGATGCCTGTCCCATACGTCCCAACTGCCGTGTTCAACACCCCCCTTCCTTCTGCTGCCCGCCGCGGTGGAAGATCTGCCCGCGGCGGACGTGAGGGTGCTCGCAATGGCACCCATGGCGCCGACAAGAATGCTTCCGGTCAGGTCGGTCAGGGCTCTGCCAAGCAAACGACATCTGCAGACAGAGGCAGAAATGAACCCAACTCTGCTCGCGCCAACTCTCTGCCTGCGCAATCCAGACGCTCTAACAGCGTTGATGCTGGGCTTACCGACTCCCGCAAGCACCAAGCTGGTCGCGGACCCAAAGGCGCTGAGAACGTCAACGCTGCGCAAGCTGGCAAGAATGTAAATGGCGCCGATACTTTCCCCCGTCACCACCGCGATGCTAAGCAATTTGCCAAGGGTCATGAAAAGGGCTCCGATCACCACGCCAGGAACCCCCAGTTGTCCGTCGATACCCAGGCTGGCCCGCGCTCAGGGGCCACTCGCCCGGAAAACGGCCCCAAGTCGGGCGAATTTACCGGATTCCACGACCGTAAGGACAAGGACTTCTCTCGCGAGTCGCGCGCCGACCGAGGTCGGGGCTCCCACCGTGGAGGTCGTGGAGGCCACGCCGGCTTCAATGGCGCCCCGAACGCTCATTTCCCCACCAACCACATGTCGCATCAC